AAATGTTTTCTCTCTCCTCAAAACGAGCTCATTTTCTTATATCATTAGTGGGATCGGCCCGGCCGATCGCCACATCGTCCCGGGACGATCAGGCCAAAATGGATCGTCCTGGACGACTCCCAGAACTATTCTCAGGACGATATTTTCTACAGTGCAGATCGGCCTGGACGATCTCACTATCGTCCCGGACGATTCAGTCCAGAAATCACTCCAGAGAACATTCCAGAAATCAATTGTTTTCAAAGTGCAGATCGGCCTGGACGATCTCACTATCGTCCCGGACGATTCAGTCCAGAAATCACTCCAGAGAACATTCCAGAAATCAATTGTTTTCAATACACTGATCGGCCTGGACGATCTCACTATCGTCCCGGCCGATCCTGGGAAAAAATCACTTTTTCCAGCAGCTACAGCAAAGGAACGAGGTCTCACAGCCAACTCATTCTTTAATCTAGATATCATTTCTTCTCTGTTTTCAAAAGCGCACAAAAAAGTGCAACCAAAGTACACTGCACGTGTCAATTTTTAAGTACATGTCCGAATATAGAGATACGTATGGACTTTGCACCTAGTAATTTCTCCCTTTCTGATAGCTCATTTCTCTTCTTCAAATGTATATGAGTTGTAATTACTCTCTTTTTGGGTTGTGTTCTTTATTATATTGATTGAATTTGGCCTATGCCCTCAATTTTCCAATAAAAAATATTGGTAGTGGGTTTCATAATTTCACAATATTTTTTTTTTAGGGATCGAGATTTACTTACATATCACCTTATACTATTCTATTTACATATTTAACATCTAAAACTTTAATATTACATACATATCACCCATAATTCATTTTCATATCAAATATGAGTGGTAGAAATGAAATATATGAGTGGTAGGAAGAAAATATGAGTGGTATATTTGATATTAAAATAATATAGGGTGGTATGTATGTAATATTAAATTTTAGGGTGTTAGATATGTAAATAGGATAGTATATAGTGGTATGTATGTAAATTTCCCTTTTTTATTATTTTATGTATTAAATTAACCTCAATATTGTTCATTTACAATAATGATATTATGACATTAAGAGAATCATGCAATTATTAATATACTTATTTTATCCTAATAGTGATACGATAGTTTATTTATACTAAGTTATGATTATTCATTTAAGTACACAATATTTTTTTAATTATTTTCATTCACTTAATTTCCTCAAGGGAGTCTCAGTTTAATAGTTTGAAATCCTCAAGGGAGACTCATCTTTATTTCTTTGTTTGTAATCCTGAAAAAAAATTTATTTTCTATTCTCTATTGCATATCTTGAATGTTGCCATTTCTTTCCAGTGGAATGTTATGATGTTAGCTTTTGAGACAAAAGCTTTGCATAATTTGAATGACAGATTTAAAGTGGATTTCAACTAATGAAATTGGCATTGAAAAATTGGTACCAACAACAATTTTAACTTTAGAACTCAATACTTTCCTCATAATCAGGGTATGGTGTATTTTTTTTATCATCAGCATGCATTTTGCTTGAACTTCTTTTGAATGAAACAAAAATAGTAGTAAACTCACATATACAATAATCTTAGTTCTTTCTTTCTATAACATGTATGGTGAAAGATTTGATATCTTCTTTGAAACTCTTTATTAGAAAAGGGAGGAAAATCAAGACAAAAAATCACGAACAAACCCAAGGAAAAGAGGCTAAGCCCTAGCCAAGCGGAGGCGGAAAATGCGAGAGAGGTGAGAGCAGAGATGTGAAAGAGGAAGAAATTATCAATTGAAGCTAGTAGACTTGTCTGGCACAATCAACTTGTGTTAGGTCAACCCCATCCTTGGCGTGGTCAATTTCATTGAAAGATAAGCCTAATCTTAGATTGGCATATATTTGATGCAATCACAACTTCATTAATAATAATGGATTTTCCTATTAAAGAAGGATTCTAATCTTGAAGCATCAATTCTATACTAAGAACTTGGTTAATAATCCACCTATGAAGACGATGACTAATTTTTCACTTTATGACCTAGCTTAAATCATCCTAAGGTAGCAAAACATATACATTAATTATAGTTAGCCTTAAATGGCATATAAAATAAATTAGATTTAAGGTGGACTCACAATCAAACTTGCACACTAGAACCCTAGACCTTAACTTAGGTCTTGATACCTGTAATAACCCAAAATTCTTAAAATGAGTTTATTTAAAAAATGAAAATTTGGATCTAGTATGAAGCGCCGCGACTGTGCTATCAAGTGCGCTGCAGAGCCAGGAATCGTCGCGACATCGCAGTATTTGTTTTACAGTAACTATAGGATAGACATGCAACACATCAACGCTAAGAAGTTGGGTGTCGTGGCATGGGCACCGAATAATATTTTTTATATAAATATCCCTCACCACCCCTATACCCCTACCTCATTCCACTTGCTTGTCGGGGAAGAGAAGAAATAGAAGAAGAGAATGGAGAAGGAAGAGAAGAGTGATGAAGTCTTCCGGGACTTCTTCGTCGGTCGCTCCTGTTATGAAAGTTGTAAGTAACCTTTATTTTACATCTATTTTTAATGATTTTGAGTTTGGTATTTTTTCATCTTCCCTAAAAGTGATAAAAAAGTGATATCTTAATTTGATAGATTTTTTTTTTTATTTGATCAAGTCCATTTCCATATATTGTAAGTATCCTTTAGGGGAGAAAATTTTTATTCCTCATTTTTCCCTCAAGAAATAGTTGGTCTCCTTTGGATAACATAAACTATAATTACTAAGACAAATTCTTAAATTAGATTAGGCCAACAATCATCACTGATAACGGAACTTAAAAATTAAGAATGACTAAAGTATGAGGTCTTGATTAGGTTAGCCCACCTTTCTCTTGAGCCTAAGTCCTAAATTTGGATTTATCCTTAGATCCTTTGTCCTCGATATATTGATAATTTCTTTTATAGGATTACACCTTGACTTATTCTAATTGAATCTCACATATTTGCTAGATATCTATATCATTGAACTTGACCTTTAATATCATCTCTTAAAAGTAAGTAATATGTCATTTTTAATCAAGATTATTCCTAAGTATCTCATATGAATATAGTTAACTATGGAGCTTGTGCATTCATAAATATAAATTCCTTAAAATAAAATAAAACCTAATCAAACTCATTAATTTTGGGGGGGGGTTCAAAATGATTGAATTAAGGCTTATTTTGGTACGATTTTGTTTATTGTGCTGTAAAGTTGCTTTTTAGTACAAAAACATCTTCAAAGCAGAAAAAAATAGTAGTCTAAAATTGTCCCAACGAAACCTAATTATTCATATAGAATATCACATTATACTGATCTTTCTTATTCTCTTTATCATCATTAGATACCCAAAGCATTGATCATCTTTTAATTCTCTCTAAGTACTATACTATTCCTTAATTAAAAATACTCTTTGATATCACACTATTGATATAATTAACTATGTCGAGTTAGTTTATAGCAAATCTCAATCTCTTAACATTAAATAAACCCTAATCAACCCCATTGATTGATTAGGGCGAAACCTTTGCCAATTTAGCCCAGCTATATTTCATTAGTCTTCATAGTTTTTATAAAGTGCATTGGTTAAAAATGAGCAATCCTTCTATATTAAAATCATGGTGACAAGTTTTTTGAAGCCCACACATGCACAAAAGACTTTTTAATTTTCTTTTTATTTCTATGTAATTATTTGAATATGAGAAAAAAGAGAAAAAATTTTAAAAAAAATTAGTCTAGTACATATAAGAATTTTAGAAGGACATAAAATTTTATTTTTAATGTACAAAGTTAGACCGAAAAGAGTTGGTTCGAAAGTATTAAAAAAGATATATTTTAGTAGATCTAAATGATAATTTGACTCTTAATAGTACACAATGAAAAGAAAAAAATTCATGTACTTGAACATATAATGAGATGAAGGCTTATTATTGTTGTTTTGTTATTGTGATAGGAGTGTCAATTTCGGGTCATGGGTCTGGTACGGGTCGAACCCGAAACTGACCCGGCACTATTCGGTCAACCCGAACCCGACCTGCTTTGGGTCCGGGTCAACCTGACACGACCCGAATGACCCGTTTCCAACAAAAAAATGGCTAATTTTCGAGTCAAAAATGGGTCTATCTCCTCTTTTCGGGTAAAAAATGGGTAAAAGTCGGGTCAATCTCGGGTTGTCGGGTCAAAGGGTTAACCCGAACCCGACCCGATTTTTGAAACGGGTCGAAATGATGAACCCGAACCAGACCCGTTTCGGGTTTGGGTTGACCCTAACCCGAAATTTTCGGATCGGGTTCGGGTCGGATTTTCGGGTCGTGTCAAATATTGACACCCCTAATTGTGATATTTCTATTTGATCAAACCCTCAAAATATTGGGTGTAAGAATATCACTAGCAGACTTCCAGCCAGAGAAATTTGTAAGCAGCAATTTAGTGAATTTATATTTTATAAATCCTTAGCCACATCTTCATATTTTTTTGCCTCCATGATACATTTTGAATTTTTGGGATCTAAGGCTTAGTTTCGGTTTTTTTTTTTACTATCTAAAGCAGCTTTTTAATATACTTTTTTTTTTTTCAAATCAGCTAAAAAAATGATAAAAAAATATCTCAAATGAAGCTCATGAATTTGTTTGGGACAGCTTTCTTATTGCTTTCTAAAATTTTAATTTCTTTACTGAAAAAATATTTTAAGAAACAATAAGAAAGTCGTCCCAAATAAAATCTAAATTTCTCCAACCTCGTCAATGATGATGATAGGGTTGTCACAAAAATTATTGAGGCTAGATTTATCTAACACCATAATTACTTTAAATTGTTTTTTTTTTTTTTAACTATCTAAAGCAGCTTTTTAATATATAATTTTTTTTCAAATCATCTAAAAAAATAGGTTAAAAGCTATCCCAAATGAAGCTCACGATTTCATTTCGGACGGCTTTTTTATTGCTTCCTAAAATTTTAAAATTTTTATTGAAAAAATGCTTTAAAAAACAATAAGAAAATCGTCCCAAATGAAACCTAAATTTCTCGAACTTCAACAATGATGATGATAGGGTTGTCACAAAAATTATTGAGGCTAGATTTATCTAACACCATAATTACTTTAAATTGCTCATATGTTGACCATTATTGTATATTTTACAGCTTGATTTTGCATTATAATATCAACAAAAAAAATATAAAAAATACATAATATACACAAAGTAAAAAAGTAGCTTGTAACAACGATATATTAAGCTAATTGCAACTAGAACAACATACATGAAAATTTCAAATATCAAACCCAAACAAAATCATCGCTTCAAATATATTTATATCATTCAAGTTCACTGCTTTGGAAACTTGGAATGGTGGGGATGGCCGGAATCGGCAGGACTGTGGGAATGGCTGGAAGGGGCGGGATGGCTGGCAAGGGTGGAATCGTGGGGATAGATGGAAGAGACGGGATGGAGGGGAAGGCCGGAATTGGCGGGACTGTGGGGATGGCTGGAAGGGGCGGGATTGCTGGCAAGGGTGGGATGGTGGGGATGGATGGAAAAGGCGAGATGGAGGGAATGGCCGGAATTGGCGGGACTGTGGGGATGGCTGGAATGGGCGGGATGGCCGGCAAGGGTGGGATGGTGGGGATGGATGGAAGAGGCGGGATGGAGGGGATGGCCGAAATTGGCGGGACTGTGGGGATAGCTGGCAAGGTTGGGATGCTGGGGATGGATGGAAGAGGCGGGATGGAGGGGATGGCCGGAATTGGTGGGACTGTGGGGATGGCGGGAAGGGGCGGGATGGTGGGAATGGCCGGAATTGGCGGGACTGTAGGGATGACGGGGATGGATGGAATGGGAAGGATGGTGGCGATGGATGGAATGGGCGGCAGTACAAGATAAGATTCGGAGGGCTTCGACGGCAAGGAGGCTTGCGAAGGGAGAGATGGTAGAGTCAGAATGGTCCGCGGTAGCTGATCAGCGGTCGGAGTGCCGAGAAGAAGTTGCTTCCCATGGCAAGTAGAGTTGCTAAGCAAGGCAAGAGCTATGCATGAGTAGAGCATTAGTAGAAGAAGAGAGTGGCGGCCATCGGTAAGGAGAGAATAATAGAGATCTGGATTTTAAGGGTGTGTCCTAACAGACCACACACATTTGACACCACAACATCCAAAACAGGTGAACCGCCAGCAGGAAAAGTCGTAGCATTATTCGGAGCAGCCACCAACTCCGGCATTATAACAATAGCCGGAGAGTCCACATTCACATCCGTATGACCAAAACCGTCCACCAAACACCCAGGAATAAAAGGAATGGCATTAGGAGACAACAACGTATCGAAAGTGATTTCAACCACAGCCGGGCTATTACCATTAAGTACTTCCACAGGAGGCACAAAATGTTCCGAAGGAGCACCAACCACATTCATCACAGCCATAACAGGAGTAACTAACGCATCAGACGAGCTAACCAGACAATCAACCGCGGGCAAGACCTCAACCTCCCCAGCCACAGATGGCACGACAACAACCAACTAAGCATTAACATTAAATTCACAAACTAAAACTCCTTGGTCCGAAGCTAAAACATCATTCCCGCCAATATTATCACAAACAGGCATACTATTCGGGACAGGAAAAAACAAGAATACCCGAATTCTCACAGGGAATCGCCAGGGGGACAGAGGTATCAACCGAAGACAATTTGGAAACAAGCTTATGACAATCCAATTTCTTATGACCCAAAGTTTTGCACATATGACAAAAATTAGGCATACCCTCAAAAACGACTTTCTGCACATACCCCAACTTCTCCGGATCCAACCAAACAGAATCGGGGTAAGGTTTCGTAACATCAATTTCAACAAGAACACGAGCAACAAAGGGACAGGATCCAGAAGCCGTGGCATTATCAGTTTGAATCGGGCGTCCAAAAACCGAACCCAACCCAAAAAGGATCCGGGAAGAGAAAAGGTGAGGATGTAAACCCGGAAATGAAAGCCAAACAGGGACGATCGGAGATTCCTCCGACAAATCCAGAACAGGGGACCATTTTATGACTTTCATAAAACATCCAAAAGCAAAGTATGAATGGTGAGCAAAAACCCTAACATAGTCCAGATCATTGGAAAGCTTGATTAACACATTAGCTTGATCCAACAGAGTAACAGAAAAATCCCCAGCTAATTTCAAATTGAAAAAAAAAATCTATGGATAGAATCTAACGCCGGTCGTTTAAGGGGAAATTTCCCCATCAGATCAAACTCAAATGGCTTAGCAAGATACAAAAACTCATCTTCAGAAAACCACAGCGCCGGCATACCACGAATCGAAGAAATACGAAAATCCGGAAATCCCTTCGACTCATCGGAACCAGATAAAACGTCTTTGAAGGATTTAGAACGCTTACCCGCTAGAAAACCAGGATCTAACAATTTTTTTGCCATAGAAAACGTACCGCCGGTGAAGAAACGGAGGCGGCTAGGGAAAAAGCCCTAAAAGGGCGAAAACCCTAGCATACGAAAGAACGGGGGCGAGGGCACCATAGTCAAAAAAATTAAAAACTTGGATTCTTTTTTTCAATCTTCTTCCATATTTGATTATGTCGATAAAAAGAATTATTTTTTTTTTCTTTTGTAACCCTATATAAATAAACTACATATATTTAGTCTTGAATGATAAATGAATGAAAATTTTCTTGTTTGGTTTCTTTCACATATGTTGGTGGTAGCATGATGCCTTCCTCTATGAGAGATATTCTATGTGTTATCTTGGTTATCTTTGTATTTTATTTTATTTCATCCACTCTTACTTTAGGCCAACACCATTACATTTAACTCCAACCTCCATATTTTCATTCCCTCTCTCACATATGATAAAAACTCTCATCTTAAACGGATAATCTAAATTATATTTATTTTCATAAAGAATCTATCCAAATCTATTTTTTTACGGAGGAAAGAAATAAAAATAAATATAATTGAAGGAGCACCGCGACAACACAGATAGAGTGTCGCAACGCTATAATTATCATCAGTGCTGAAGGACAATAAAGTAGCGTTGTAGCAGTAAAGAGTTGAAACCAAGACAATGAGCAAGGACTTAAGGCACCTTAAAGGGAGTGTCAAATTGCCACAGTGATGCAACGAGTGAAAGTTACTGACAGTTGGACTGGTGAACTGATGCGATGATTGATGAACTGACACATCAATTTAGTAGCTCGATCAACAACACTATCCAGGTCAAAGTCGCAATGCCAGTTCTATTATTTGCAAAAAAAAAATAAATAGTTTTGTCCCAATTGAGGGAGGGGACTGGCCATTTGTTCATTTTGTAATTAGTTTAAGAAAAGTTTGGAGTGAGATAGAGAGGGGGGGTGCAACAATAGGAAGTCAAGTATAATAGAAGGAGAGTCTATAATTGTGTTGTGAAGAACTTCCTGATGATGTTTGTCATGAACTTAGCTCTTGTGCTTTTGTTTTATTTTGAAATGAATTGTATTTTATTTAGTTTAATTTCTATGTCTATCTAAAATATTACTCTAGGCTTATTATATGTCAGAAATCTTGTTTGCATAATATTAGATCTGATTTATGTATAGACCTTGCATAAACTTAAAACTCATTGTGATCTTCAGCCTCGATGGAAGAGTAGAGGAATACTTAAGGGATTTAAAATGAAATTCTATCATATGTAAATAAATTATGGATAGAGTCCTGAAATTTTAAGGAGTTATAATCACTGTAGTTGAGAGATCTTAAATAGACACTCCAACGAATTTAACAAAAATGAGGAGAATTTATACTCTAATTTACAATAATATTATGAGAAATCTAACATTTGTAATCATAAGTTTTTAACTATCGTAGGTCCAAAGTCCCTTAGTCATAGAATTTTCTTTTCAAAACTATAGCGGATACACTTCAGGAATTTCGTTGAATACCGGTGGTCAAATACCAGACCGCCGACAGTTAAACTTGCAGTTTGACCGCCGTTATTAACCGGCCGTTCCACCGTCGACATTAAACACTAAATCTCTAGAAATATGACCGGTATTTTCTTTGGGCAGCAACTTTTACAGGTGGTTAATTAGCAGTCATTTTTAAGTGAAATTTTTTCGGTGGTTACAACAGCCGGAAATGGCCATAAAATTGGCTGCTCCCCGCCCATCTTCCTTTTTTCTTCACATTGCTTATTTGTTTCATCCAGATGCTCGCGCCCTCGTCCTCGCCCTCGCCCTCACCAAAGTGCATTTGTTTCGTCAACAGAACTCCGACCGCCAAACGCCGCCCACGCCTCGCCCCCGATGCCCTCAATCCGGTGACCGAACACCCCTGAAGGTGATGTCCTCCATGCATCTCCTTATTTTTTGCTTTAGTCATGAATCTTCTTAGTAGACATTTGCAAGAGGATGAACCAGCCTGGTTAATTTTTGTTGTTGTTGATATTCTTCTTTTTGATAAGACTAGAGAGGGAGTTAAAGGTAAACTTCAATTATGGAGATCAACCTTTCAATCTAAAGGTTGATTTTGAGAAAGCCTTAAGACCATATCATTTTGCTTTAGTCATGGATGTTCTCAATAGACATTTGCATGAGGTTATACCTTTTTTTTTATGATGATATTATTTTTTAATGTTGATAAGACTAGAGAGGGAGTTGAAGGTAAACTTGAATTATGGAGGACGTCAATCTTAGAGTCTAAAAGTTTTCGTTTGCGTAGATCTAAAACATGAATATATGGAGTGTAATTCTAGTAGTAATACACTTAGTGAGGGGATTGTGACTTTGGGCGATCAAGTCATTAATACGAGTACATGTTTTAGATATATTGAATCTCTTGTTCAGAGTGAAGGTGAAATAGAAGGGGATATCATCAACAGAAATCAAATTGGATGGTTGAAGTGGATGAATGCTTCGGGCTTGTTGTGTGATAGAAATGACCCCCTCAAACTTAAGGGAAAATTCTATAAAATGGTGGTGAGACCTGCAATGTTTTATGGTACCAAGCATATGAAATTCTATATTATGTTCATTTTGGAACATATGCAATGTTATTTGTTTAAATAATTGTTTCTGGTTATGTGTAAATATATCTATTGATTGTGTATTGTTATTACATATTAACTATTATGTTAATTTTGGAAATCAAAATTGTTTTGTATATATTTTGAACTGTGTGCAAGTAATAGTAGAAATTGGTGTAAATAAGGGGGATGTCAATTTTTTTTTTACAAATGCTATAGGTTCGGTGGCCAACTAGTGGTTTGGCCGCCAAAATCTTCGATACCATATGGCTTGAAGTTGTAGCCAGTTTTTTTTAATTGTCGCTGGTAATATAATAACTGGCAGCTAACCGTCGGATTGGCCGCCAGACATACCAGAGGTTTCTTCTCGCCGGTAATGAACCGACGGTTTTCGCGTCGAAATTTACTGGCGGTTTATTCACAATTTTGATATCATTAATTTCTGGCTGTTTTAGCTGCTGGAAAACCACCGGAAAATGGACGTTGGTTTTCATTCATGCGCGATTTATTCCGGCGATTTATAAATCGCCAGAAAACCGTCAAAAATTTTACAAACCGCTGGAACATGTATCAAAACTGCATGAAATTATCGCCGGTAATAGGTGATTTTCCTGTAGTGATAGCTTGCATTAGCAATCCTTTATAATTCTATAGATAAATTAAATTTGATAATTCATATAAACAATACTAGAGTGAACTTAGTTCAATTCTCATCCTAATGAGAATGATACTTTAATTTGATAATACTTTACTTGAAAGGACACATATACTTCAAAAGAATCAGAGTTCACACAGAAAATAGCCTCTATCAGTGTACATAAATCAGTACACAAAAAGGATCAACCCTCTTCTTTCAATTCAACACAAGCAAGCTCCATCTCCAGCTCAATTACCCTTCCCACTACCATCCATTTTATTGATATAAGATCAAGGCTTCAAAGTGCTTTTTACTGACATGATCATAAGTTTATTAATTTAAACCACTTTATATCCTGGATGAATGAACTAATTAGTTCAGATACCAATTTTTTATACAGAAGCAACAAAATCTGAAAAAAAGAAAATAAAATATACATAATGTGGGCAACTTATCGTTTTCAACAAGAACTTTTGTACTATGGAGAGGGCCGAACTCTCATTTCTGGCGAAGTTAATCTACCTCAAATTTTTTCAGCAAGATAAATGAGAAGTCTTTCAGTGTCATGAAGTCTCTCAATACAAATCATGATCTTGTTTAGTCTGATGATGATCTCTCAAGAGATCAATGCTCATTTTCAAAGATTTTCATAGCAATCCTCAATCCTCTTGGTGGCATCAACTTTAATTTTAAGTGATTTTTATAACTACATTATCATGGATTTCTCAAATGATGACAAATTGCTTTGAATCAATGATTTCACCATTGATTTCTCCAGCCCCTCATAGAGTATTCCTGGCCCTGTTATGTATTAATTTTATTTTTACAATTGAAGTTTTTCAAGGCAAGTCAAAGCTATGACTCGCTCTCATCTAAACTCCAAAGCATCAAATTCTATCTAAAACCACAAAAACACATCACCTTATTATATTTTTCAACAATATTGTGGGTGAAACTTTTGTTGAAAGGCTCGAAGAAGTTCACTTCTCATATCATTTCTCCTACGTAATATCTATGACGTGTTTATATATGAAAAATTTCTTGAGGAGAATGTGTACTTGCTAATAAATTACTTAGATGTTTTCATCGCACAATTGATCCAAAGTTCTATTATGTCAAATTTGATATTACGAAGGCTTTTGATTCTCATGATAAGAGATAACCGTTCTAAATTTTTTTATTTTTTTAGGTTTACTAGTTGGATTTTTTTTTTCCAAAAACCAGAATATATTAAAAAAGAAAGGTTACAATGAAAGACCCCAAATAGGGTCATAGCATTAGTTTACAAAAGGAACGGCAAAGGCCCAAAAAAAGGCCAAAATGAAAAGGGCTCCAAAGGCGCGGACTCAGACCATCATCGGGTTGCCAGGGAGGAGCCATCCATGGGGCACAGCAAAACCAACAGAGAGAAACAACCAACACAACGGACCACCCAGGTTGCTCATCAACCCTGGCCATCCACGACGCTTGCAGCTTGCAGCAGCGCTGCTTCCTCATCGTCCATAACATAACTGATAGAACAACCACACCAAAAGAAACCGTCGAGAGCAACCACACAAAAACAGAACAATATATCCAATGTGCAGCCAAAAGAAACCAAATGAGGAGCCACAATAACCATCAGCGACCACGACGGCCCCTCCCCCGTGACCTACCACGAGAAGCAACGGAGACAAGAGGTTTGTCACGTAACACATTAAAAGAGTTACCAGGATCGTCGTCCCCAGAAGATTCCAAAAAATCAGATTCAGAATCAGATGAACTCTGAAGCCAGTCCATGCACGAACATCAATACCCGAATTGTCCTTTACATTATAACACATTGAAAGGTTTACTAGTTGGATATAGATTTGTATTAAAGTGATCTAATTCCTCATTAATATTAGTGGCTCTCATGTGTTAAATTTTGATCCTCTAAAGTTCTTAAATAGAATGCCTGTTGTCCATTTCATTTATGCATTGTTATCCTTTTCTCCTCCTTGGATATTTTTGGGTTCTTTTTCTGATATTCCAATATGTTTGCATGTAATACAAATTTGCTGTCATTTAATTTGGTTGGTAAAAGTATTAAGAGGTAACTTCTAAGATTTTGAAATTAAATTAGTGCTACATCAATTTTTTTTTATTGCACTCAAATTTTCAAGAAAAAACTTATTTTAAATTAATTTCTAATATATTGCACTGCCTAGAAATTCCTTAAAAACCCTAACCTCAAATCCTATTATGAAGATTATGATTGTGAAAGTCGGATCGAATCTAGTGGTTGAACATATAAGATTGTAAACCAATCCTCAAATTGATTCACTCTGATTGTGAAACCAAGTTTGTAAATAACTAGGATCAACCTGTGAAAATAAATAATCAAATCGCTCGACCGTTAAGTCATAAATAATTATTGTACCAATTTGAGTAGAAATTACAATTAATAAAAAAAATATTAAATTTATATTTATATTTATATTATCACTTATTAGAATTACAAGAACTAATGCATCATTTAAATAATTTTAATTAATTTTAATAATATTTTCATTATCATGATTAAGCTTCTTAATTGTTAGATGCTAATTAAACTTTTGAACGTTGATCATCTCCCTCAATCCACTTAGTTTGCAATCCTGCACTAAGAACCTCGATGATCACTCTTTATTAATTTGATAAGAATTTCCAATCAAAATACTTATTATTTTTGTGTTATACTCGATCGCAATTCTATTAAACTGCAGCGAAAATTCTTTTTCTTCAAAATTATAATAGAACAAAATCCATTTCAACAAAATAAAATAGAGCATAACCAAACCAGAAGGAAGCCTCACCAACATAGAATCCAACATAGATGGAGCAAACATATATTATAACATTACAAAAATAAGCAACAATTTAGATAAATGCGCAGACCATTACCACGTAAAACAACCAAACACCATTATTCAGAACAGTATAAGCAAAACAACCACACATTATAGAAGATCAAACGTCCCTACTAGCAAACAACTGAAGAAAGCTTCAGTACTGTGCTCCAACTGCAACTGTAACACCATAGACGGTCCCAACATGTCTCGATCGTATGGGCTTTCACTTACCAGGTGGTGGTGAGAGGAAAGGAATGGATGGAAAATTGGGAATAATATTGTTGGGAATACTGAAAGGAAGTCCAGAAATGGAAGGGAATGGAGGCAGTGAAAAGTTTGGAATGGTTGGAATGGTTGGAATGGTGGGGATGGTGGGGATGCCGGGGATTGATGGAATGGTGGGGAACGGCGGAACCGTCGCAAGCTTTGGAACGGTAGGTAAGGCCGGCGTGGCCGGTGTCGAAGCAGAAGGCGGCGACGCAGGGGCCGGCGAGTCGAGGAGATGGCGCGCCCCATAACATACTGAGTTTTCGAGCAAGACGAGCGTCACGAAGAAGAAGAAGAAGTACTGAACTGAGTGAGCCATGGAGGAAAAGAGAAAAGGGAACTGGAGAGGAGAGACTAAGGGTTGCTTAATTGTATGTGGTTGATGAAGAAGTTGATGTTAACTTGTTATTTTTATAGCGATTGGCAGAAGGAGATGATGTGAAGTGTAGGGAGCTTTGGGTATAGTGGTCATCCAGAGGTAGGTGGTTAGTTGGTTATCTAACTATTTACAGGCTTTGTTAATAGTTACGTTGTGGGGGCTAATATATTTATGATATTACTGTCATTGTTAGTTCATCTTCCCTGGCTTCTAAGCCGGTTTGAGGAAGAAGGCTCCTGTCACTGTGTTATCATCCCTATGACTTTGATGAACTGGTCGGTGGGCTTTTGAGAGTAGAATTTTTTTGATGAGTTTATCTCATAATTTTTTTATTTATGGATTAGGTTAGTATTTTTATTCTTTATTGGCCAGTTTTGTTATTATAATGTTGGTACTGATGCATGACAAAGTTGAACAAATATTAGTCAAAGACATGATATATATGCTTAATTAAATAAAAATTTTGTTTAAGATAGCTTCCTTACTATTTTATTTTTCAAAGTGCAATTAAAACTTCTATTTGGCCACTCTTTTTTGTTGATTTCAAAAAAAATATTTGCACTAATAAGCTTCTTTCTATAAATGCTTCAAAAATTTCTTTTCTTTATAACATATAATTTTAAAAAGCAATAAGAAAAACATCCTAGATGAATCCAAAATCTCTTTTGAGACTATGGCTTTGTTTGGGACTATTTTCTTACTGCTTCTTAAGTTTTTTAGTGCAAAAATTAAAATTTTTTTACTAAAAAATTATTTTAAAAAGCAACAAGAAAGTCGTTCCAGATGAAATTATAGTTGAATCTAGCTTCAGGTCGACCTCATTAGTGTGGAATCTAACACAATTTTTGCCTGGCTTTATTTCATAATAAAAAATATGAAAGTTATAGCAATTAATATATAAAGAATAGAGCTAAAACGTAATATCATAAGTATGTGGACGTAAGAGGAACTCATAGCGACTATTTAAAGAGATGTTGCCAATTTAGTGAGGTAATCTTCTCTCTATTTCTTAAAGTATTATTATTATTATTTTTAATGATTAAGTCATTTGTTTTTTTGTCCCCGCCTTAAAAAAAAAAAAATTTAGGTCTTCCCTTCTTTGAGTTCACACTTCTTGTATTCATTTTAGGCTTTGCAACGGAAAATGACAAGGTTGTGAGAATTGGATCGGACATGGAAGAAGGAGAGGTTCATAGTTTGATTGGTCGAATCAGAGTCGAATTGGATGATGCAATAAATAATAATATTATAAAAATTTAATAAAATCAACATAATAATAAGGTTATCATTTCAAATTTATTATTATTTTTTCTAAATTATATATGTCTACTTCAATAGATATTTATATTCCCATAATTAATAAAAAAATAAGATTAATTGCTTTAAAGTTTCATGATGCTTCAAGTTAAGACCAGAGCTAATCCCATTGCAGGATAAGACCAAACTATCTCTCGTGCCTCTTCTCATCATTCCTTTTCGTTGAACAATTAGTCTCGTTCAGAGGTGTACTTGAGTAAAGCTAACTCGTGAGCTAATTGAAGTTCAACTTGTAAATGACTAATAAGTTGATTTGTTTAAAAAATACACTAAAAATATATATTATATTTCAATAATTGTAATATATAAAAAGCTATTACAAATATTTAAATGGTATATCTCACTTCGTTATCAAGTTATTTCTTGATATATCCTCAAAAAATTATTGATCGGGCACGAATCTCGAGGCAAAATCAAGCCGGAAACTTCAAAAATTAAATTAGGGATCACCTGAACTCTGATTTTAGTAAACTCATAGTCAAACTGAGCGTCTCGGAAATATGAACTCAACGACACTAAATTCAACTCAATCCGAGCCCAAATGTGTCCAAATCAAGGACCCGAAGCACTGTTGGAAAGTTCAAAACATAATTCGAGTTACCAAACGGTTTCCAAATTTGACGTTCTTATAGTCAAATCGAGCAACTCGACGAGACGAATCCAACGAGCCCAAGATCTCTGAATTCCAACATGATTAAGACCTTTAAATGTCTGACGAACGGTGCACGATCAAGGGATTCAATATCGGCCGTCCATCCGACCACTCCATATTTGCCTCTGATCTCTCGTCTATTTACGGGTCATGCCACTCCAAAAAATTCTATAAATAGACATCTCATTTCTCATGTGAGGGGGTGGAAGCAAGAAAGAAGAAGAAGGAAGAAGAAAAGAAGGAGAAGAGAATGATAGGAGGGAATAACTCCTCGACCATCGCAAGAGTTCTGCCCGACGCCGGAATTCTGCCGGACTTCCGAACAACGCTGGAGTTCTGCTCGACGCCGAAATTATACTTGACCTCAAAGTGATGTGGGAATTCCTGTCTGACTTCCACGTAATGTCGATGTTTCAGCATAATTTCAAGTAACATCGGAGTTCTCCCCAAATATCATCTAACGTTGGAGTTCTCCTCGGCCACCAACTGACGTCGACTTCTACCCGACGTCGGACCTCCGCTCTTCGCCAAATTTCTACCTGACGCTGGACTTCATCCAATTGTCGGACTTTCACCAGACATCTATCTGATATTTGATTTCTTCCCATTGATGGACTTCTACCAGACGCCGTCTTTCTAACCTCCATTGTCAGACTATAGTCCTTCCGACCAGCCTCCGTCGTCCACAGACTACGGTCCTTCAGACTTACGTCGCCCACTGACTACAGTCCTTCCGACCTCCGTCGTCCGTCGACTACGGTCCTTCAGACTTACGTCGCCCACCGACTATAGTCCTTCTGACCTCTGTTGTCCACCGAATACGGTCCTTCAGACTTATGTCGCTCGCCAACTACAGTCCTTCTTACTTACATTGCCCGCCAACTACAGTCCTTCCAACCTCCATCGCCTACCGACTACGGACGTCCTTAATTCCGACCTACATCGCACACCGACTACAGTCCTTCAGACCAAACTAACACATCAACATTGATGCTTTGTATTCTCACTATGTAATGTACTCTATAATACGTACATCAAGCTAAGGACTTCCCCCGAGTAAAGACCTCATTTGTAATCAACTACAATACTAGTGGATTCATTTATAATGGGCCAGGCCCCGTGGTTTTTTACCCCTTTTTTCAGGGGTGGTTTTCCACATAAAAAATTTTGGTGTCTCTAGTGAATGACGCACCCTCTCTCTCTTATCTGTTTGCGTGCCAGATTTTCGTACAACGCTAAGATGTTAAACTTTATATTTCTCTACCGTCGTGAATACTCCTGAACGCAACATTTCTTATGATTTCTTGCTTAATTTTTGTTCTTTTTATCATGTTATTATGAATTCTTGAATAAGAATTTTTACATCAATCCAAGGCCTTCCCTCCAATGAAGGGCCTCATTTGTAATCAACTATAAATGATTGTTGATTCATTCAAATTGGAGTACTAGGCCCCGTGGTTTTTCCTCTTTCTAGGATTTTTCACATAGAAATCTTGGTCTCTTATGAATGGTACACCCTCTCTCTTATCCAATTGTGTGTGGGGTCCTCATATAAAGCTAAGACGTTAAACTTTATATTTATCTGCCGCCACGAATATTCCAAGATGCAACAAGAATGGTATTCTTTCTTTAATAACAAATCAGCTTGCTCGTGATGCAACTTGAACTAGTAAAGTTAAATTTGAAAACGAGCTCGAACATAGGCTTTGTTTGGGATAACTTTCTTATTGCTTTACTTTTCAGGCCTCAATCATAGTTTCTATTTGACTACAGGTTTTTCACATTTTTTAAGAAATTTTTGTTCCGAGAACCATATTTCTACAACAACTTCAAAAAAACTAATTTTCTTCATAGAAGCTTTTCAACCACCTTTATAAAAGGTTCCTTAATTAATTATTCAAATTCAAACTCGAGTTAGAAATGACTTGAGCCCCGCTAGACTCAGTTACACCACTAGTCTTGGCTTGACCTCCTTTGCACACACCGTATGCTAATATGCTAAAATATAATTAATTTTAATAATGAATTTAATTGTCTTTAACCTAAAAAAGATCTATTAAGAAATAATAAATAATTTTTGTTAAATTTATAATTTTAGCCTTTAAAATAAATATAATCCACATTGACTTTTTAAGCTTATTTATTTGAATACTTTTATTAATTTAATATTTTAAAAATGTATATTCATGTACAAACCATAATTTTTTTATATATTTGTATATTAACATATAACTCTTTATATGTACTTGTAACATTTAATTATCTAAATCACATAAAAAATATCACTAATATTAATTTATTGAAAACTGTTTGGGATCTTGAACAACCATGGCGATGGAGAGATATAGAGTTTAGTGTGCTAGCTTCATACGAAGATCCACAACACAGATGGATGAGAGAGGGTGCACAAGTCATAAGAGGCATCAAGAATTTTACATAGAAAAGTAAGAAAATGGGAAAAACCACAAGGCTTGACCTAATTAAAATGACTCTAATGCTATTTGTAGTCGATTACAAATGATACTCTTCCTCGGAGGGAAGGCCTTGATTCAATTTAGCAAATATACATAATATATAGCACATTATATGGTGGGAGTTGGAAGAATTCAACGATATGATAATTGCTCTCAAAAGAATGTTGGCATGTTCGGTTGGTCGGTAGGATCGTAGTTGGGCGACGGAGGCCATCATAGGGGTCGTAGTCAAGCGACTAAGATAGAGGGGACCGATCTCGGGTGATAGAGATCAAAGGAGCCTTAGTCGGCGGGTGACGATGATTGGAGGGACCATAGTTGGCAGGTGACAGAGAGGTCGCAAGGACTGTAATTGATGGGCGATGGAGGTTGTAGGGACTGTAGTCGACGGGCGATGATGGTTGGAGGGATTGTAGTCGGCCGGTGATAGTGGTCTAAGGAACTATTGAAGGTGGGCGATGATGGTCGGAATGATCATAGTATGTGGCGACGGAGGTCAGAAGGACTATTTGTCAGACGACATTGGGCAAATTAAGGTAGACGTGGCGGTGGTGGCTAGACGAAGGCTC